CATGTTATTTATTATTTATTGTATTGTTGACGTAGCCTATTGTCCTGTATGCACTGAATGGCCTAATAAATCATTTGAATCATTTGAAACCGGTGCAGAGTATGCTACCGAGAGGGACGCAAGTCAACGAGAAGTGTCTACATATGTACCCAGTGCCCAGGTGAACCAGCCTTGTGTCCAACTGGTTGCTATGAAAAATACCATTCAACCTAAGACAGTAAAGAAAGGGTGGGTTGGAGGGGTTGTATATATTGTAAATATATTTCTTAGTATAATAATGAACAATAATATAGAAGAATAAACAATAATGGACTAACAGAAGTGACACTAGTGAAAGTACGTGACTCATAGACACGCCGTGCCGTCCGCCCAGTGCGCTTGTCCCGGAACCGAACCATGTCAGTATAATTGCTTTTGGTCAAAGAATAAGCAATTATATAATAAACTAAAGTGACTGTGCAACATTGTGAAGACAAACAGTAGCGACACTAGTGAAAGTGCGCGACTTTGACACGCCGTGCCGTTCGCCAGTGCTCATGTCCCGGTTCCGAGCCATGTCAATCATGACGTCACAGCTGCTGTCACCTGGACGAGGGATTTATTTCTAAAGCATTCACGGACTGCACATCCATATACGTAAGTGTTTTAGTAAAAATAATTTTCAGGGTGGCTAAAAAGTTTCATAATTTTATTTAGCAGCGAATGTGTTAAAACACTTTTAAATTGGTGTAGGCTACTATAGTTTATGGGCATTTTATGAATTTTAATGCATTCAAATGTTGAGAAATCACATCCACGGAAATTAATTACCAGAGAACGATTATTTTTTTCAATATAGGCCTACTGTGATCTTCCTGGGTTCATAGTTTTACTCTGTTGATTTCACGATTGACAAAGATATTTATATTTTAGCCGTTTTTTTTTTTTGTTTTCAGAACTCCAAGTGAGAAGTTTTCTAGCTCTTAAATGGACCTATTCCCAAGATGTACTGGCAGGGCCATTCTTGCTATGCTGGGGGCATAATGGTGATGGGGCTGGAATGCTACACCCCAATTCCCTCAACATGAGTCACACATTCCATTGGTGATATACTATCAAATACTTAAGAAATTAAAAATAAAATATGTCCAAAATACCAGAGCCCACACACCAAATTCCCCCCAACTAGAGTCACATACCATTGCTGGCATACCAACCAATAGGGGAGAGTGGGGCACATTCGAACATGTGGCACATTTAAACGGTTTAAATTTGAAGTCATTTTTAAACTTGCAGGCCATTGGACCAGCTGTAAAATGTAGCCCCCAAATAGGACAACAGGTTGCATTCATCTCCCTCCATTTCTGATCAGTTCTTAGTTTGTTGTTGGGAAAAGAAGTTTTAGAGCACCGCAAGAAAACTTTTTTAGCAGTAGGGATTTGTAAATTTTCCATAGAAAAACTACATTACAGATAAGTTTGATCCATTTACCTTATGGCTTATACATATTTAGATACAATTATGCATTTCACATTGATAAATTACAATTCAAGAAAACATCATTCAACTTTTTGCAAAATGGTGCCTAGTGGGGTAGATTTGAACAGGAGTCTGAGGGGTACATTTGAACACCATGTTTTCCTCTAGTAAGCATGTTGTTCAAATGTACCCCAACTGATTATATTTGTTTCCTATACAAGACAGTAATAAATAATAATAATTTAAGTCTATAAGCTTCCTGCATACCCTTGAGAAAACAGATATTGCACATTAACATGTTAACTTGGAGGGTTTAAAATATAACTAAATTAAAGCTAACATTATTTTACGACTAAATGTAATAACGTTAAAAACACATAAATTCACCTATTAAAAAATTTAAGTTTAAAAAGTGTTCAAATGTGCCCCACTCTCCCCTACTCGAGATATTGAAATGAAAAAATTCTGCCCAACATACCAGAGCTCATACCCCAATTCCCTCCTGCATTCACTGGTGGCTATGCATTTCTAGTTCAATACTTTTTATAGTGGAGTGTAGGCCTACATATCATTATGTATTTTCTTGTTGAATATTTTAAAATTACGGTATTCATCTAGTTTAGCCTAGTTTGGTCTTGTCTGAGTTTTGTTTAGTAGGTACCTAACCAATTTATTGTAGACTACTCAATAAATTATTTTTTACACTTGCTTCTTGTGTTTTGTTCCTGATATTCCATCTTTTCCAATCTCCATAAAAGTTTATATTTATAGATACAAAATGGGAAAGTAATTTATTAAATAGAATTGGAGCAACAACAAAATATGTTTATTGGAGTTTAGCCTCTATGGACGTGATGCATAATCCTTCTTCTTACTCTTACAAACATCTTAATTTCACCTGTCATCGTCATCTGTTGGTACAATTAAGTGTTTGAGGTTATATTTTCCTATTTTAGCGAATTTCCCTATAGGGAAGTAGCTATTACCGTAGGTGGCATGGTAAGACCTAGACCCGGGACCGATATACTTTTTCATTTTGGTGTCCCTAAAGGCCAAAAACACTATTCGTTCAAATTTTTATATATGTATATATATATATATATAGACTTATATATATATACGTCCGTGAACGCGATAACTTGAGTAATTTTTGTCCGATTTTGATGAAATTTGGTTCAAAGGTGTAAGGCGCGATAAACTTGAATGAGTTCGCGAACCAGCATGTTCGGACCATGGGAACGGGGTTTTACGGGGGGTTTTATGGGGTAAAAAATGGTTTTTCTCATTTTTCACCCTTAAAACAAAAAAAATCCCATTTTCTCTCTAAATCTTTTTAAAGAGCTTAAAAAAACAAATAATTTAGTATATAAAAGTGTTTTTGTACTGTTATTGGTAACGGAGAAGATTCAAAAATTCTAAATTTGAAAATTCCCATGTTATTCTTATGGACAATAAGTAAACTGCTGTAGTTTGCTTGTTTAGCGATATATTTTTATAACACTTGGCTTATTTGTTTGTTTTTTTATACTAAGCTAATAACAATTGAATAGAAAACACACTTTATCACTCTCCATGAAGCAGAAAACTTAATTAATCTAACTGTTTTCTTGATTGTTAGAAACTGGATTAATAATTGACCTAGCTGTTCCTGGACAATGGGCTTTAAATAAAGGATCCTGGTTAATGAAACAGCTGATAGTTACACAAGGCTACACAGATCATCAAAGCTACACAGATCATCTAGCATGGGTTATTAAGGCGGCTCCAGACATATGCACCAGTCTCCAAGCACAAAATATTTTATATTTGGCGATCTAGTTGTCTTGCTATTCGCCAGATTAACAAGTAGACGTCTATACACATGTGTTGTTTTCCGAGCAACTGTTTATTTCGGGAATAGGAAATGTTCCTTTACTTTGATGTGTGCAAAAATACAGACAATGAATGGAAAAAACACGTGCACAAATGTTTCCTACTTGTCAAATTGACAAACACCTATCCACACTACTCGCGATTTGACGTATCACCTCTCAGTGCTTGGCGAATGGCGCATGGTTTGAACCGCCTTTATATGCACATAGGTGGTGTTGTCATATCAATTATTGAATAGGTTGTTAGGTAATAATTTGTTTTTTCAAATTGGTCTTTTTTACTTTTACCCTCAAAGCATAGAACTTCTTAACACTTATAACAGTCGTTGTGTGGAGCTTATAATTGAAAAAATTAGTGTATTTTAAATGAAATTAGGCAGTTTCTGGTCATTTTAGTAACTTTTAGCTGCAAAATTGCTGTATCACGGACTTTGGCTGAAAAATCACCGATTTTTTTCTGTGAATCACTGAATTTAGGAAATAGTAGGAAAATTGAGTGTTGATAAAAAACGGCCATAGAAAATACATTTTTTGGTCATAATACAACCTGAAACCATCATTTTGTTGAGAAAATTGTACACATTATATTGGTAAGGTATATTTGCTCCAAAAGTCGTGATTTTATTTGTTATAAAGCAATTTCAAGAGAACCGTCCTTAAGGTCGCGGTATTTGGGCAGTTTACCTTATATGACAATTTTCATATGGGCATTTTGGAAGCAATTTACGGTAGGCCTAACTTAGACATATAACGAAAATCATTGACTTTATATCTAGCTAAACTTTAGGCTATACCTAATTAACACGTTCGCGGCGGCACGTCTAATGGCAGGCGTATCCCCAGTGCAGTGCAGCCCGCAGCGTCAAACAAACCCGATTGCCGTGTGTGACTGGCTTTCCAATTTCGGTCTGACGAATACTCAAATAACGTGCGAGGATATCCTGCTTTAAGACGAGAGTCGACGTAGTTCGCTAAACACTCACAGATAGCAGCACTGCTTGGAACATAGCCGGTCCCATTGGGATTGTATTGCCAAATGGAGGGAAAAAGGCTGGACAAAAAGTAGAATTTTGAGATTGCCAGAGGGGGATTTTCGGGGAAATTTACTACCAACCTACACCACAACAAAATACAGTAGGTATACTATTGAGCAGTGCTGTGCGAGGTTTCAAGTTTCTAGCTCTAATCCTGGCTTAAAAATAAATCATTACGTAAGTTACTGCATTGCAGCTTGGGAGCGGACGCACCCACCAGGATGGCATTAAGGTTCCGTGTGGGAGCGATCGCTCCCATGCCGCCGCGAACGTGTTAATTTATCTGGTGGTGTAGATATAAAGTCAGTGGTATTATCTTAATCCCCCGAGACCCCGAACGGCCTGAAAATTACCTGAAAACCGGGTAACTTAATTAGGCTACCCGGTTTTTGGCAACACAGAAGTGTCCTCTAGAAAAAATACTAACCTGGAGTCTAATAGAGAATCCAGGATTAACTTAAGCCTGGATATAATTCAACTTCAAAGCTAACCTGAATGCTAAGTAGGTTACCATTAAAGAAACCTAAGGCCTCTCCAGATGTTATTTGTTAGAGGGAGGCCTAACTTTAACTTAGTTAGGCTAAACATAGGCCTATGTTTCATTTTCAATAATTAGGCCTACGGTATTAGTGTTCACCTTTCTTGGGCAAGCCTCTCCCACGTCCATTCCTGGGACGTCTTGTGTTTTTCCAAGATCTCTGTGTTACAACGACACTGTGAGAATTTGAGAGCGATTCTTTTGAAATCTGTCTTAGTAGTCCCCTCTTGGCCTTCTTCTTAACACGATGGTCTGTAGAGAGATTGTCAACACTTTTTGAAACTTCGCTGTTTCCACCAACTGCTCCGTTTTCAATATCATTTTCTTGGTCAACCAATATATCAGCAGATTCGCTAGAATCTTTATCCATGTTGGATTCTAAAAGTTTTGATAACAAACACGCAGTTAACAGGTAGGCCTACTGACTGAAATCCACGTTAACTTGTGTTTCCTTTATTATTACTAGGCCTAGGCCTCCATAAATATTAAAATAAATTCTTTATTGAATTGAAGATATAATAATTTCCAATGGCAAAAACTAATTTTTACAAAACTACCTTATCAGTTATACGGCGGTACGCAATATCAAATCAATGAAGGGACAGAAAGTAATGCGAAATACACTCAATAACAAATAATACCATAGAAGTTAAAAGAACCGAACGAGTGGTTGGTTATGTGCGACGTGCGTTGCGTGATAAATAAAACGCAATGGAAACTGAAAAAAGTACGAGTATGATGGTAAAAGGTAGGCAGGTATAAGTGTATAAGTAGAGTCCAGGTTAGCCAACGTAAGAAAGAAAATATTTTTAACTACCTTATCTAACATATCCATGAACTACAGTATTGTTTATAAACAACACAGATAAACATTAGTTGTTATCTCAAAGTAAATAAGGTTAACTAGTCCAGGTGCTAAACGGGTTGAGTATGCACTGAAAGTCTGACAAAAATTGACTTTTGATTATTGTTGGGGACATCTAGTAGATGAAAAAAATCGATGATGTCGCATTTCTAGGGTGGTCACAAGTCGGGGGGGAGGGGGGAAGTTGCGCGGGTCATCGGTTTACGTTTCCGCGTCTAACTCACAAACGGTTAATGATAGAAAGGTGGTTTCAGCGTCTATCAACGCCTAAATATATTGTCCTTCAAAAAGATTGTAACAACCATTCTTCTATCTCTTATACTTTAGGCACTAATCAACATTTATTGCAAAAAATAAAATTTAAAAATACTTTAAAATAAAATATCGGAAATATTGCGCTTCTTTAGGGCATGTTACAAACTATTTATGGTTAGAAAAACTAACAAGTAGTACAACAGCACCAAGTTTAATGAAATCTGTGCAAAAACAACAGAGCTACGTTGATTTCAGTAAGAGTAAACGTGGAAAATTCGTAGTAGTATCGAGGCGTGCATGGATGGTACGTAGCCCACAGTCAATATAGGTTTGATGTTGTAAGCAACTATGGGAAAGCTGAATTTTTCTATGCTGTTAGACCATGTTGAGATGATCATTTTCCCGAAAGTCCCCACTCCTACCCCCTTGTGCTTTCCTCTAACCCCCCTTTTTAGATAAATTTACAGTCTCTTAGAAATTAAGCTATAACTTTAAAATGGGTGAGGATAATAGCGCAATCTTTTATTAATCATTTTGCGTTACGATATTCTACAAAAAGTGTATTTACCATGGTATCCTAAATATTCATATTTAAAAAATATCATAAACATAAAAAAATAATTTTTACGGAATAATTTATAAAACTTTTCTTTGTAGATTTTTTTATACGAGGTCGCACAACAAAATGTTTTATAAAAAATTTGGGGTGCATAGTTTGCATTTTAAAATGATACATAGTTATTAACAGTTTGTTTGCATATAGTGGTATAGATAGTACAGTATATTGATTTTACAGGACTCTGGCTTTTTTGTGCACCGCAACAATGAAAAAAATACGTATACATATGGTTTTTGTATTTGAATTTGCCGCTTTATATAGATTATATTAAAGTTATGTAGCTCATTCAATACATATACAGACTGTAGTGGATACATATGAATGAATATCGTGCATTTGCTGCTGTACGCCAGAGCCTCATTTTATTATACAGAGTGTCTCACCTAAAGTGAACCAATAGATAACTGTTTTATTATGAGATATGAGTTAACTTCTTATGGGACACTACCCTTTATTTTAAGATGTTTTTCAGTGGTTTCGAATTTTATAAATATGTTTGCCATTTTCCAATATGGCTGACAACTTTGTTAGTCCTATGGAATACCCTGTATTTTATGATTGTTTTAGAATGTAAACGCACAATTTTTAAACCTTTTTATTCTTGACATTTTTCTCTAAAGCTACTTGTTTAGGAGTTACATCGAAGAAGAAATGGTTTGTGAGTACATCCTGCATCCTGTAGCTCATAAACGAGTAAGTTTAAGAGCGAAAATACAAAGAATAAAAAAGTTTTCAAATCAAATCTACATTTAAAAAAACCATAAAATAAATTGTTCCAATATCAAAGTAAGCTACCATTTTTGAAAATGGTGGCCATTTTTAAAACAACAAAATCAGTATTTTTTAACGTATTTTATATATTTTTTTTGAACGAGGACTTATATGTGACTTATTTATTCTTTGCACTTTCTCTCTCAACTTACTCGTTTATGAGCTACAGGATGCCGAATGTACACCACAAGCCTTTCTTTTAGATATACTGTAACACGCTGTAACTCCTAAATGGTGTAGGTTTAGAGAAAAAATGTCACGAATAAAAATATCTTTTAAATTCTAAAAGAATACTAAAATACAGCGTATTCCATAAGAAATAACAAAGTTGTTGGCCATATTGGAAAATGGTGGATATATTTTTTTATTCGAAACCATCCCTAAAAACATTTTTTACAAATAAAGTGGGTCGTCTAATAAAAAGTTAACTCTATATGGAAAATAAAATGTATGTATGTTCACCATGTAATCTCAACCGGGATGAAACGTTTACCCTTTTATAGCAGAATGTCCAATTTAAAAAAAGATACATCAATTTTGGTCTAACAAGTTATATTTAAATGAATATGAGTTTTTTGGAACTTTTAAATGGCAAAGATTGGCGGGCACATGGAAATTATCTTAAAGAGGCGTGGAGTAAAGGGTAGGAATTAATAATGGAGTATAATTATTAAATTTAAGAATTGAGATATCAATACAAAAATGGGAAAAATCGATGTAATTTAAAAAAATTAAAAATATTGTTTGTTAAGTATCATCAAAGTAAATTATAAAAGTAACAGGTTTGTTTTATGAATTATTAACTGTTTATAGGAAAAATTCAGATTCTCAGTAGGCTACATTTAAATTTTATTATTCATTCAATTGTTATCTGATCTTTATTAGTATGTAGTGCTATTTGTGTATATTCTGTAGTTGAAATCAGTATATTTTTATGAATATTTGTATGTGATTCATGAAATTTTTTCAACTGTTTAAAAATATTTCAAAATCAGTGTGTCTAACACAAAACAGACGGTCTTTGACCATTGTTCTTTGCATTTAAATAAAAAACACTGTATTGATATTTTATTACAATGAACACATTTTCTTCTCCTTCTTCTTCAGAAATCTGTAATAATTCTTTTTAAATATTTATTTATCTAATAATTCTTTTTGTAGATTATCGTAACGCAAAATGATTAATAAAAGATTGCATTATTATCCTTACCCGTTTTAAAGTTATAGCTTAATTGCTAAGAGGCTGTAAATTTATCTAAAAAGGGGGGTTAGAGGAAAGCACACGGGGGTAGGAGTGGGGACTTTCGGGAAAATGATCATCTCAACATGGTCTAACAGCATAGAAAAATTCAGCTTTCCCATAGTTACTTACAACATCAAACCTATATTGACTGTGGGCTACGTACCATCCATGCGCGCCTCGATACTACTACGAATTTTCCACGTTTACTCTTACTGAAATTAACGTAGCTCTGTTGTTTTTGCACAGATTTCTTTAAACTTGGTGCTGTTGTACTACTTGTTAGTTTTTCTAACCATAAATAGTTTGTAACATGCCCTAAACAAGCGCAATATTTCCAATATTTCATTTTAAAGTATTTTTAAATTTTATCTTTTGCAATAAATGTTGATTAGCGCCTAAAGTATAAGAGATAGAAGAATGGTTGTTACAATCTTTTTGAAGGACAATATATTTAGGCGTTGATAGACGCTTAAACCACCTTTCTATCATTAACAGTTTGTGAGTTAGACGCGGAAACGTAAACCGATGACCCGCGCAACTTCCCCCCCTCCCCCCGAGTTGTAACGGCTGCATCCCGAAAGCCACGAATGTTTATGGCTATAAGCTGGGGAACGAAAGCCACGACAATTAGTGAAGGGTCGAAAAGGTTTTAATCCTGGGGACGTAAGCCACGACTGCTGTCAGGTCAGGGTGGCAGCTCACAGGGAGAACGGGAAATTTAAGCTCCCTGTTTTACTTATGTATCTCAATCAAGCAAGTTCGTCAGTCCAATCTGAATCCGCCGTGCTATAAAGGTTAGAAGTAGACCTTTGAGCTCTACTAGTGTTTGTTACATATTTTATTCTACTGTCTAGTTATCGTTAGTGTAATATATTTGTTCTCTCTTACAAATATAATAATTAATTTCAAGCAAATAATAACTAGGGATAAGGCACGGTAGATAGCACGGTAAACCCTAAACAGTTTTACTTTTTCGATTTAATATCCTCAGAGTCCAAATCTATACTATTATATAAAAATCTAATGGTGTCTGTCTGTATGTGTGTTACTAATAGGTGCAAAAACTACTAAACCAACTGGGCTTAAATTTTACAAAAATATAGCTACCATACCAAGGACCATTATAGGACTATTTACATTTCGATACTGACCGTAGGCTCTGCCCCTTTAGCTTTAAAAGTTCTAAGGTGAACATTTTAAAAGTAAATATTGATTTGTCTCCATGGCTGTGATGAGAACACTAACAATGTTTGTTTACATTTGCTTTGACATTTAAATGTAAACAAGAAGAACTGCTAAACTGCATATTTCACAATTTCAAACAGCTGATACAAAGAAATTAAATATAATATTTTCCATAACTATGAGGTACTTGTAGGTTTATTTTAATCTAACCTTTTATCATGGATTATTTATTCTTAAACTATGTCAATGATTATAAAAAAAAAATTCTATAATTGTTGCTGTATCAACTCCGGCTCTGCTTTGGATTTTTTAAAATAATGTTATTGATATGTTTTCATGGAAACAGTATGAAAATTACAATGTATAGATGTTTTGTATGAATTTGGAGGCTACTTTAAATAAATTCTAAATAAATAAATGCATGTGTTGGATAAGCAACATGACTTGCACATCACATTGTTTTTTATATGTATATTTAGGTAAATTAAGTTATAGATGGTAATAATACAAAATACTCTTATTTTATCTTAACATAGCTTTCAGTTCACATTTACTTTATTTGATACATTTATTATTTGTGTTTTGCCACACCACTGATTAAATTAATTAATATTAAAATAATATGTATTAATTATAATTTGTTAATAATTAATTTAATTATTAATTAGTTAATAATTAATTTATTAATTTAGTTTGTTAATATTTATTAATATTATATTGATTAATATCATAAAACTAAGCAGTACACAGTGTTCTTTTTTTCTAAAA